TCTTTGCTTTGCACATACAATTGTATAGGAGAGGCAGCAATGTGTGTTAGCATGTCCACAGGGCTCAAGGCTCCTTTTTAGGGCTTCTCATTCAATGCCATAGCACTGCCTATAAGTGAACTGACCAGCCCCATAGACTATTTGAAATACTGCAATTTTACCCACAGCCTGCCCCTCCAGAAATCTCGCTTCACAATCTACTCACTCCCCATCTTGCACAACGGTCCCTGTGTGAGAAACCTCGAGCACTGTAACTAGACTAATATAATACAATAACAACAGCAATAAAATGATGATAATACTCAACCTGGAGGATTCATCTGGGTTCAAAGTCCCATGCAGATTAAGTCCATAGCTCATCCATTCCACAGGCAGCCAGTAGCTGAATGTGTAGAGAGTTCAGGGCAATCATCACATGGAAGCTGTAGCCAGTCAAGGCCACCATAGAAAAAAATAACCTTAAGGGTAGTAAGATACAAGTTTTAATGACACCAGTATAGGCAAATCTTGTCCATCAGGTAGGATGCATGCGAGAGAGTGGTCCTGTGATAGTACAGTGGCAGGAAGGGATCTCATCTTGGTCTAGTATACCAGACCTTCACCCCTTTCCCTGTGGGAGTTACAGATGGGTCAATATGTAAGACTATGGGAAGTACATGCATTGGCCACAAAGATAAAACAAAACTTCCCCATAAGATGCTCTTATCTCCCAGACGTTTTGGGTAAACTACCATGATCTTTGGATTTTTGGGGGCCATTCTACTGTTATTCCATGAACACACAGGAGGCCAACTTCCAGGCCTTTTCCCCAAGGTGCCAAAAGGGCCAGCTATCACTGGTCCATGTGTGTCAAAATGTCCAAGGCCAAGTGCACTCAACAGTCTCCAGGGTTTAATACAGTTGGGGCTGGCAGCAGGGTGTTGCTCTGATGGCCATATTCTGGCTTCAATAACTCCTCTTTGCTTTGCACATACAATTGTATAGGAGAGGCAGCAATGTGTGTTAGCATGTCCACAGGGCTCAAGGCTCCTTTTTAGGGCTTCTCATTCAATGCCATAGCACTGCCTATAAGTGAACTGACCAGCCCCATAGACTATTAGTGTCTGACTTAAGGCCAGATTTCAACAAACCATTGTACCTCTCTATTATACCTGTCCCAGTAGGGTTATATGGTAGATGAAACTTCCACTTTATTCCTAATTGCTGCACCCATTCTTGTAACACGTGTCCAGTAAAGTGGGTGCCTTGATCACTCTCAATCACCTGCGGCTGGCTATAGGCTGCAAAGAGATGCTCTAGGCCCCCTTTGGTCATTTGCTGATCTGCATGATGTTCAGGAAAAGCAATCAATAGTCCACTACCCGTGTCCACACAAGTCAGGGCATACTGATATCGGGCAGAGGCCCAATATAGTCTATCTGCCACCTGAAAAGGGATTTCAGCACCTTTACTATTGTCCCATGTAGCTGAGGGACTAGGTGTAAGTCCCTCTTAGAGCACACAAGGCATTCCTTCCAGGGTCTGCTGACTTCTTCAAAGGTCAATGGCAAGCCCCACCAATGGGCTACAACCCACATTCTCTTTTGCCCCATGTGCAACAAACACTGATGTAACCATTGCGCTACATAAGAGGCAGGCTTTCCTTCTAGCCAGCACACATTGGCTAATGTGACTGCTTCATCATTCCCTTGGGATGCCAAAGGTAAATGGCCAATCACATGAAATACGGTAACTGCCTTAGTCTGAACAGAGGCCCATAGGTCTTGCCAAACTCTTGCCCCCAAAGGGGCCAGTGACCAACCATCTAGTTCGCATGGTACCATGTCAGTAGCCACAGGATCAAGCCCTGACAGATGGCCCAGCTATCAGTAAAGACAACTGTAGGGGAGGTTCTCCCGGGTGATCACAAGCCATACTGCCTGCAACCAGCCCATTGACTGCTCTTCCCCTTTCTGTCCTCCATCCATATTGTCTCAGTCTTGGGATGGAAAGCCACAGCCCTCCACTTCAGGGGCTGCTCACGAATGGTGCCATCTGTATACCAAGGATCTTCAGGTATCGGGGCTTTTCCCTTCTGATAAGGACTCTCAGCTACCACTGGGTCAAAACACATTCTTCCTGCTTTCCACTGGTGTATGTCACTGGCCCCAATAAGCATTAGAGTTCTCCATTCAGGGGGCTAGTGGAAAGGGCGCTATGCTGCTGTAAATATGCGCCCCATTTGGCCAGTGTAAGTGTCTGTGCCACTTCACTCCACTGCCTTGGGGTCATCTTGCACCCACCCCATGATGGGATAGGTAGTTATTGCCTTGGTCAGAGCTATTCTTGTAATGAGCTCCATAGCCAGCAAGGTGTGGTACAAAGCAGCCCATTACTTCTCTTTCAAGGTGTACCAGATCTCTGCTCCTTTCTATAATTGTGACAATAGGTTGGCAGGTCCATTCAAGCTGCTGGCAAAGGCTCCATTCATAACTGTCTTTGGTTACATGAACATTTTTCTCACAGGGTCTTGATAAATCAATTACACCCTAGGCCTGTACAGTCTCAACTGCTCAGTTAGCAGCAGTAAAAGCAGTTGCACATTTTTCTTCCCAGTCTCAGCTGATGCCCTTTCATACCAATCAGTATAAGGGCTTCAGAATTTATGCCTAGTGTGTGATAAACACTCTCAAGTAGCCCAAAAGATCCTTAAACTCTTGTAATACTGCCATAGTGGTAGGGGTAGGGAAAGCCTGGACCTTGTCTATTACTGCTTCTGATGACTTTAGTTTTACCCAACCAGACAACCCCCAAGAACTTTACAGATAAACCAGGTCCTGGAACCTTGGTACTGGGCCCAGGCAGAGCCTGAGTACTGTCCCCCAGGAAGTCCTACATGAACACAGGGCATTTGCTTTTGGCTTCCATGTCCTGGACCTCAGCAGCTGGGACTGCTGCTCTGGCTTTAATTGGTGCCATAGTTCTAACAAGATCCTATTGGGTTGCCCATCAAGTTTTTCTCTCACTACCCCTGCCTTTATCAAATCAACCCACATCTGGGTCCTTGAGACCTTCACAGGGCCCTTTGCCCCTCTACTTTCCATTGCAGCCCATACACCCTTCCATGCTCTTATTGTTTCAACCACCCCCAGATCTGCTAAAGTACAAGTAGCCTCACTTATGTGGTGGCAAGAATAGTCACTAGAAACCAAAAGAGAGATGGGGGAGTTGTATAGAGCATCAAATTTCTCATTCCCATGGTGAACAACTTCTCATTGGGGCCTTGGGGGTCCATATTATAGCTCATATTTTTCATGCCCAACTCCCATAACATCTGCTGGAGCTCTGCGTATGTTTTCCAGCTAGTGAGTAAGTATGGCAAATCACCAAGATTAGGCCAAACTGCTCTGATGGCTATTGTCAGCCAATCCAGAAGTGCCTGATTACCTGGGGTGTGATGGGCACTTGGCAACCACTGCTGGGGGGAAGGGTGAATAATCAGGGAAACCAGTCTACCCATTTCAGAACCCGACATAACAATGTTTTCCACCCCCATATCCCAAAGATGCAAAAGTCATATAGGCAGAGGTTCCAAAGGCATGTGCCAAAACTGGATGTTCCCCAGCTCATCTTGGCCATAGGGGCTGTACATGGAATGCTCCACAACCTGGGGAGGGATTGCTCCTCCCCCTGAGGAGACCATGGTTGTGTTTTATTTTCTTAATTACAAATGAGCATGCCTTTATTATGGGAGAGGTTTGTGCCTCGGGTGGTGGCCTTGGCAACAGTTTGGTCCTCAGCCCCACCCTCTCATCCTCCCCTTATATTTCCTCTACCATCTCTGGGGCTGAAGGTACCGATGGTTTCTCCTCTGCAACGTGGATTCCCCTGCTGCCTCCTCCCTCACTCTAACATATCTTTCAGAAATGCGACCTGACTTGTCAATAACTGTCTCTCTTTCTTAAGGGCATTCCCATAGGTCATGTCCCAGCTCCTCCAAGTGATGCTGAAGTGTTTCTCTCTTTAATAACCCTTTCAACTATCTCAAGAAACAAACATCCCACAATCCTGGCCACCACACAGCCACTCGGGGCCTCTAAGCAGTCTTCTATCTCACAGAGGGCTAATTCCACAGCTTCTAGCATCTCCACCCTTCCCAATTCTGGGGAAGGGTCCACCCATCTAGGAGGTGCTTTACCCTACACCAATTCCTCACTAGAGGCTCCACGAGTGGAAGTCCCACAGATGGGGGTTCCTGGGTGCAGCTGCACCATATACCACTGCCAGAGGGAAGGGTGAGTTGTCATTCCCCACAATAGCAGCTACTGGGGCCTCCCCACCATCCACAGGGTGGTTTCTGGGTATCTCCCTACCACCTCTAGGGGTAGCCTGCCCAAGCACTGCACGCATGCACACAAATTTTGGGTTCAGAGGTCCTGCTAATTACTGCCAGTTGTGACTCCAGGGGGAAAATATGTTCCCAGTCTGAGGCAAATAAACCTTTGAAGCTGAAATCAGTCAAGGGAGAAATAAAGTGGGACAAACCAATTTATTGCTTATAAGCAGTCATCTATTCCTGCTCACCCATGTCTCTCATGACCCAGCTGCTAAGAATCCAAAAATACTCTCTGGTCCAGATGCCCACTCTCTCTCCACCCCCATCATACTCAACTATTGATATGGAGATGGACTACTTCTCTCCACCCCTTGCAAACACCTATTGATATGCAGATGTACTAAGGCCAGGTGAGAGATTCTGAAAATATTGCAATTTTATCCACACTTATATTGAACAAGTTTGATGCAAGTTTTACAGTTTCTTGGAGATCCACATCATGAAGGACTCCCAGGTGCTCACTGTAATAGGCTTTTCACTAACAGTGTATTGCCTTATTTCTCTTGCTTTTTCATTTCTCCACTCTTATAACTGGGCTTTTGAGGCACTTCTCACATAAACTGTTTGAACTCATATCTTTTTCTGAGTTAACATCAAAAAGAAACTGATCTAAGATAGGTGGTACCAGAAGTAATACTGTTTTCAGGCAATCCAATACAGGAAGATCTCCTGCCAGCTAAATGAGACCTCGATCCAGGAGAAGGTTCTTGACTCTGATGGAAGAAGAAGTCACAAGCAGGTCAATCAGGTACAAGCAAAAAGTAGTTTCATAAAGGAACAGTACACATTCCAAGAAGGATTGTGGGTGTAGCTTTGGGGGAAGTGTGTTCCTGGCCTGGGGCAAATAAACCAGTGTAACCCAAATCAGTCAAGGGAAAAGCTAGGGTGAGAGAAACCCTGTTGTTGATCACAAGAGGTCTGTCTCTGTTTGTACTCTGTAGCCACGACCTCCTGTTTCTCCCATCCTGGTGTGCACTCACCACTCCATCAACCCCTTTGGTGGGGAAACTCCATAGGCAGGTCCCCAGCGACTGACAGGCACAAGACCAATTACAGCAGAGGAGAGGAGAGAACAGTCTCTCTCCCCCAAGGCTGTGAGAAGAAACACCTATTGATATGCAAATGGCTAAGGCCAAGCAAGAGATTCTGGAAATATTGCTATTTTACCCCACAGTGGGCATGGTCCAAGATGAGCAGCAGGTTGGGGTTTGGGTTGGGTGGTCTTAAATCTGGACTTTAGGCCAGTGGTGGAATATTTATCAGCATAGATTAGGTATTCTCTTAATAGGGAGGGAATTTCCAGAGAATAAGGAAACACCCTCTTCTTGTCTTTAGATGGTCTGCCTGGGAACTTTCATGACACCCAGGGGTCTGATTTTCACTATGCTAATGAGCATATAATGTATTTTGAGATAAGGTCAAAGACAACTTCTCCTCCATGTTGGAACCAGTCAGTTTTGGCAGGTCTGTAATGTATACCCTTATTCCCTACATCCCACAGAAGAGTTTACATCCAACTGAATGTAAACACCTGCCAAAGGCACCATGGCCCTCCCTGCTCATTTCTGCCAATCTGCCTACTATAACAATACTGAGTGGATTCTAAGAATGGGATTTTAGAAAGGGATCACTCGGTAGCCATTAGACAACAATGACCTCTGATGATAGGAAATCCAAATAGGTAAGGAAAACAAAAGCAAAAATAAACAATGGGAATACATTAAACTGAAACACTTCAGCACAGCCCAGGAATCCATCAACAAAATCAAAAGACAACCTTCAATATAGGAGATGATATATAAATGTATATACTGTAAATGATATATCAGACAAGAGGTTAATACCCAAAATATATAAGGAATGCATACAACTCAACACTAAAAAAAAAGAAAGGAAAAAAAAAGGTCTTCCAATTAAAAAATGGGCAGAGGACCTAAGCAGACATTCTACCAAAGAAGACAAACAGATGGTCAACAGACACATGAAAAGACGTACCACATCACAAATCATTGGGAATATGAAACTCAAAACAAGAATGATATATTACCTCATACCAGTCAAAATGGTTTATTACCAGAAAGACAAGAAATGACATGTGTTGGTGTGGATGTGGAGAAAAGGGAACTCTCATACACTGTTTGGGGAATGACAATTGGCCCAGCCACTATGAAGAGCAGTATTGGTTTTTTGAAAATCTAAAAATAAAAAAAACATATAACCAAGCAATTCCACTTCTGGGAGCTCATCTGAAGAAAAAAAAAATCACTGATTCAAAAATATAATATGTACTCCTATATTAATTGCAGCATTTACAACAGCTACTATATGGAAGTAATCTGAGTGTCCCTTGGTAGATGAATGGATAATGAAGAACTGGTACATGTATGCAATGAAATACTACACAGCCATAGAAAATAATGAGATCTTGCCATCTGGGACAACATGGGTTGACCTAGAGGGAAATGAGGCAGAGAAAGCAAATACCAATTGATTTTCCTTATATTTGGAATCTGAAACAACAAAACAGAAATATACTCATAAACAAAGACAAGATTCTGGTGGTTGCTATAAGGGAAGAAAGTAGGATGCAATAGGTGACCAGGATAAAGACATACAAATATCGAATTATAAAATAATCGTGGGCATAAAAGTACACTACAGGGAATATAGTCAATAATAGTATAATAACTTTGTGTAGGGACATCTGATAACTAAACTTGTCATGGCAAGCATTTATAATGCGAATAATTGTTGAATCACTATGTTGTGGATGTGAAACCAATACAGTATTGTATATCAACCATACTTCAAAACATAGAGAGCATAACACATTCCAGGCCCTTCTCAGATGCTTTCTTATGACCTGTGAAAAACACATTTCATCTCTCAATGTAACATGTAACCTTGAATCTCTGAAAGCTTAAGGCTTTGTCCAAGATCACATGCTTAGCAGGTGGTCGAATACTGCTGACATTCACATGCCTATGACATAGTTTTTCTGATCTACAGACTCTGTCAAGTTTTCTTTTTATCCTTATTTGACACTAGCAGAACAGTGAACAAATGCCAAAAGTCCAGTATATAACCAGCTGGAAAAGTTCACTATGCTGTTAAACTAGTGTATATCCGTGCAAACAAGATATGCTACAGGTGCATCTATAAAACATTAGAATCCACATCTTGAAGAGGTACAGGTCCTCTTTTTGGTCAATCTGAGACTCCTGTCATCTATAGGAACACTACAAATATGACCAGACACTAAACGTTAAACAAATTCAAACACACAGACCCTTCTTGCATTGCCAAGTCATTTTATTTTAAAATGACTACCTCAGATTACCTATAGGATTATGCAATTATCAGAGTGATTACTGATCATTTCTCCCAGTAAATGCCAATGAGTTGTTCTCCATTTTGTGTTTTCTAGTTAGTGTTTACTTGGGTTTAAGATATTACCTCTCTTCAATAGTTCCTTGCTCTGCTTCCTTTTCTACAGTTTATTCTGTGTGTGAAAATACAGCAATAACAATTGAAATCAGAAGAAGAATTAAATGAACAATTAATAGAACTAGGGTCTTGTTTACAGTTACAAGTACATTGGCATGAAGACGTGGCTCTGTGTCTGGTGGAGGGCCACTGTCTAAACTACCGCCTGATCCTTTCTCTTTACAGTCTGGTGGCCTCCAGCCTCACTGACAGTGACAGTGTTTGTTATTGTTGCACACGCCCCTGAAACTGCAGGTCTGGACATCACAGTCAAATTTCATGTCCTGATAATAAGTACAATTCTGTTTTAAACAGTATCTTCCCGAGCTGCATGTTGCACCCTCCACTACAAGACCTATTTCTGGAAGATTGGTCCCATGGTGTGCATCATATCCAAAGCATCTTTCCTGTTTAACATCTTGTACTATTACATGGTGAAATGTAGTGTGATCACCTCCACCAGAAATTTGGTGGACATTGCTACAGTGCAGCAGTCCACAGAAAACATCATCTTCTTCACATTTAACAGGTGTTCCTCCTCCTCGGGTCAGCCTCACCCCACAGTTTCCACATCGGTCACCAATCACATTCAGTTTTTGATAGCATGCTGGTGAACTGTCTTTTATTTGGTAGCCAAAAGGAGACTGACACTGCATGTCACAGTCACTACAGTTTCCTCTCACACAAACGGCTAATGCTGAACATGGGGTTCCATCCTGGATATAAAAGTCATTTGGACAGTCTTCTGCATTCCCGACACAGTATTCTGGTAGATCACAAATACCATGCATGTTTCTGCAAATCTTTCCAGGTTGAGCGTATTTGCAGTTATCACAGCAATCTCCTTGGCTGCACTCACTGCCAAGGGAGAGGGAACAGTTGTTCTCACAACACTTATTGTCAGCACACTCTTTTAAGGAGCCACAGTCACTTTCTTCCTTCTGGTTTATGATCTTGTCACCACAACGAGGAGCTACATAAGGAAAATTATCATATGGTACATTTGGAGCACTCAAACAAGGATCCCAATGAGTAAGCTTTATATGTAGTCTGTTATAAGAACAATTGCTGAATGTATCTAGAAGACCAGGTGTAGGCACCATGACACAATTTCTTCTTCGAAAACAAACATAACCAGAGTAATCATGAGAAACACCCAGGCCATGACCTAATGTATGCACTGAAACCATGGCAGCTAAAAATATGTGGTAATTTCCTACAAAAACATATGATGCTCCCCAGTTGGCGTTGCATACTCCATTTTGGTGGGCGCAATATGAGACCCCACCGATTTTATGTCCTGTAAGAAGCAATGAAGTGTCATGGGATTTGCTCCCAAAATCCATAATATTTCCACAAACCAAAATCGGTTAAAGTTTTTTGCACATCAGCATATAAATAGATATTAAATGGATCCATAGCATCCCATATGCACACAACACATATGTTGATATCCAGATGACATTGTTTGTAAATGGTGTGCATAATGTTGTTTAAAATCACTATATTCTCTATTATACTTGTGTGATTAGTATTATGAACAACTAGTGAGTTAGCAACAGTACAGTGTATTTTAAGGTATTTCTTATGTGGCCACCACAAATACACAGGACCTGCTCTAGGAGTTTCAGCAAGTATTTCCTCTGCATATGCTTCATTTGTACCTTCCTCTTCAATCTCACACTTTCCTAGCTCTGCTGATCTTTCTTCAGAAATGAGCAGAGATACCACATGCTCAAATTTGGAAGAAGCCTTCAGTGGCTTTATTTCATAAGTGAAGTCATCCATCTGCAGCATGCCATGCAAACTGCCAGAGCAGGTATCCACTGTGCCCACGGACCCGGGAACCCCTTCCAGGTAGCTGTAGTAGTAACAGTCTCGTGGGACAAAGGGGTAATCCTCCTGCATGGCACCTTGACCATTATTGGTGATAACAGGAAAATGTCTGGGCAGCAAGCTCTTTTTGACTTTCATGTGAATCACATATCTTTGGCCCCCACAGTGAATCTTGTAGGAGAGCTGACCTGTATCTCAGCTCCAGACCCCCTGTGGGACACCTTCCTGGGGATCACAATTTCAGAGGAAGTGAAGCGCCATCCTGGTGGGGCATGGGAGCAGCAGATGGGGGGACAGTAGTAGCCCAAACAGAGGCAGCCAGAGCTCACCCATAAGGTGGTTCTGGGCCAAGGCAGCCCCCATTAGTGAGGCAGCCAGTGATGAAGGAAATGCAGTCAAGTGGAAGGCAGGCAAGATGATCCCTGAAACAGCACCTTTTCCATCAGTGTAGTCATGAGGAGAGCAGAGAGAGGCTGGAGGCTGGGCACCCCCAGAGAGGTGCAGGGGGTGGGTAAGCTATTACCTAACAATGGGGTGCTCATAGGGGAGGTTGTGCCTACAGGGGCGGAGATCCTAGCACAGGGCCCAAAAGCTGAGATAAAATAGGAGAAACTGGAAAAAATCGTGTGTCTATCTGGGTGGAATGATCCTATGGTGTCTTGGAGAGGTCACAAGAGAATAGTAAGTAGGTTTGGTGTGATTTTAAGACAATTAATAACTTTTTTCCCCTCAAACTAAATAATATAAGGAGTCAACTGTAATTAAAATAGGAAATGTGAGTAGAGTGGAACTTCTCTGTAAAAGAATTTTGAGAACTGAATGAGGGTGTCTCACATTTTATAAAAATTGAATGCCGTCAGTGGTGATTGATGGAAACAAACTGTGAATAGAGGCCATGAGAAGAAAAGTAAGTTGTGTAGTAATGTTTTCTTATAAACTATACCTACTCTATATTTCAGTGATTATAACCATCAAGTTGTATATAAATGTTCATAGCTGTGTTATTTATGAATTTATTCCACAAACTGGAACCAGTACGTAATAGTTGTATGGATAAACTAACTGGTATATACATTTGGTTGAATAATTCTCAGTACATCAGAACTTCTGATTCACATAAATGTATGTGTCTATTTCACAGATATAATAATAGAAATCAGACCAAAGGAACTCAGTATATGATTGTATTTGTGTGAAGTTCTATTACAGTGCAAACTAATTCAAGGGAATAGAAATCATACCAGCAGTTTCCTGATGTGTGGGAAGGATCTCCTCTCCAGTGAGGTGGGCCACCACAAAGAAAACCTCCTAGGGAAATGCTTACATATCCATGCAGTCAGGCTACGCCCAAGGCCTCACACTGGTAGAGCCACTTGTGTGTTGTTTCAGTCCAGAAGAATCACAGATATACAACTGCAGTGTGGGCTGAGCGCAGCAAAGCCATGTGAGAGGCCTCCTGAAGCCTTGGGTGGCCAACCCCTGTGCGGCAAAGATGCAGGGGCAGAACTTCCACCCCAGTGTGTCTGGAAGGCAGGACCTCCATGCAAACGGGTATGTGAAATCCCCAGTGTACCTAGGGGGAAGAACATGGAGCCAAAGAGAATTATTCTCTTGCCCTTATGTTTTGTTTAGGATCTGTTATTCTTTCCTTCTTTCCTATTTTTTCTTTTTGGAATGAGAGTGTCTATCCTATGCCAGTCCTACCATTGTGTTTTGGAAGCATGTAACTTGTTTAACTTTAAAAAAAAATCATTCAGAAAATAGCCATATATTATTGGAAGTTAAGATAGATGCTTTAGCAGAGGGTTGTTTGAATTGATATGGGCTATTTTTATGTGACCAGTGTTACATTTTAATCATTTTCTCTTCCCCTTAGTTCCAGTCAAGATCTCCCAATGTCCACTGTAGCATCTTACTCATTTCTAGAGTGGTTAAAGTTCTGGACACTTCGAATTCTGAGATCAGAGGGCAGAATGGTCGGGTTCTTGTGAGAGCCCTCATCAGGGTTGCAGACTGTCAGCTTCTGGTGATGTGGCTCAAAGAAACTTAAATGTGTGTGTGTGTAGCCCATAAGGAGTTTATTGTATCTTCAATACCCTGAAATCTAGACTTCTCTCCCAGAGAAGGGTCCTTCAGAGACAGGGAACCATTATCCAGATGAGCTGCTCATCTGTCATTTTCATAGACAGCTAGATTCATCCTCTTGGATTTCTCAAACTCCCAGCTCCCCAACGTGTACACAAGATGAAACTGGACGCGGCAGTGCCGTGCAAAGGACGGACCCCTGGGTGCACTTCAGTGGCCTGGGGATGCCTCTGTTGAAGTAGTGCAGGAAAGCGTGCTGCTCCAAAGGCCACCAGGCTATGGGTTGTTACATGCTCCGTATTCCCAAACTTGTGGCCCAGGGTCACAGTGATGCTAGGGTCACCTCACCACCCACCATTGTGGGATCCAGTCTTTTTCAAATATATAAATTTTCTTTTTCACTTTCCATGTAATCAAAGGAGAAGAAAAGAGAAGCTGCCATGCATTTTGTTGAATACTATACAGACAGGGTATTATACAGTCTGGCACTGTATCACCTTATATAGGAAAGGACATTGTTATGAGACAGTAACTGAGTATTCCTATGAACTATTGTGATGACAGTCTTTCTCTTTTTTCAAATAAAAAAATAAACAGTATTTGTAAACAGATGTCCTTATTCCCATTTTATCAGACAGGAAACAACATGAACAATTTATTTATTATTCAGGAAAAAAGTTGTTTTATAACCTCAAAACAAATGCTTATTGATTAAGAGCTGTAAATTGCTTAAATTGCTTAAGTTGGAGATTTCACTAGGATTTTTTTTTTGGTATCATTAATACACAATTAAATGAGCAACACTGTGATTACTAGATTCCCCCCATTATCAAGTCACCACTACATACCCCATTACAGTCACTGTACATCAGTGTAGTAAGATGCTGTAGAGTCACTACTTGTCTTCTCTGTCCTATACTGCCTTCCCTGTGCCCCCCACTATATTATGTGTGCTAATCATAATGCCCCTTATTCCCCTTATCCCTTCCTTCGCACCCATCCTCCCCAGTCCCTTTGGTAACTGTTAGTCCATTCTTGGGTTCTGTGAGTCTAGTGCTGTTCTGTTCCTTCAGATTTTGCTTTGTTCTTTCAGTTTTTGCTTTGTTCTTATACTCCACAGATGAGTGAAATCATTTGATACTTGTCTTTCTACGCCTGGCTTATTTCACTGAGCATAATACCCTCTAGTTCCATCCATGTTGTTGCAAATGGTAGGATTTGTTTTCTTCTTATGGCTAAATAATATTCCATTGTGTATATGTACCATATCTTCTTTATCCATTCATCTACTGATGGACATTTAGGTTGCTTCCATTTCTTGGCTATTGTAAATAGTGCTGTGATAAACATAGGGGTGCATATGTCTTTTTCAAACTGGGCTCCTGCATTCTTAGGGTAAATTCCTAGGAGTGGAATTCCTGGGTCAAATGGTATTTCTGTTTTGAGTTTTTTGAGGAACCTCCATACTGCTTTTCACAATGGTTGAACTAGTTTACATTCCCACCAACAGTGTAGGAGGGTTCCCATTTCGCCACATCCTTGCCAACATCTGTCATTTCTTGTTTTTTGGATAGTGGCCATTCTAACTGGTGTGAGGAGGTATCTGATTATGGTTTTGATTTGCATTTCCCTGATGATTAGCAATGTGGAGCATCATTTCATGTGCCTGTTGGCCATATGAATTTCTTCTTGGGCAAAATGTCTGTTTATGTCCTCCACCCTTTTTATAATTGGGTTGTTTTTTGGGTGTAGAGGCATATGAGTTCTTTATATAGTTTGGATATTAACCACTTATCAGATGAGTTGCTTATGAATATATTCTCCCATACTGTAGGTTGCCTTTTTCTTCTAATGATGGTGTCCTTTACTGTACCAAAGCTTTTTAGTTTGATGTAGTCCCATTTATTCATTTTTTATTTCCCTTGCCCAAAGAGATGTCTCCAGGAAAAAAATGCTCATATTTGTGTTCAAGAGATTATTGCCTATGTTTTCTTCTAAGAATTTTATGGTTTCATGATTTAGATTCAGGTCTTTGATGAATTTTGAGTTTATTTTTGTGTATGGAATTAGACAATAATCCACTTTTGTTTTCTAACATCTAGCTGTCCAGTTTCCTAATACCAGTTGTTGAAGAGGCTGTCTTTCCCCCATTGTATATTCATAGCTCCTTTATTGTACATTAATTGACCATATATGTTGTCTTTCCCCCATTGTATATTCATAGCTCCTTTATTGTACATTAATTGACCATATATGTGTGGGTTTATATCTGGGTTCTCTATTCTGTTCCATTGATCTATGGGTCTGTTCTTGTGCCAGTACCAAACTGTTTTGATTACCGTAGCTTTGTAGTAGAGCTTGAAGTTAGGGAGCATAATCCCTCCAGCTTTGTTCTTCTTTCTCAGGATTGCTTTGGCTATTTGGGGGTGTTTTGTGGTTCCCTATGAAATTTAGAACTATTTGTTCTAATTCATCAAAAATACTGTTGGTATTTTGATAGGGATTACATTGAATCTGTAAATGGCTTTGGGCAGGATGGCCATTTTGACAATATTAATTCTTCCTACCCAAGAGCATAGGATGTATTTCCATTTATTGGTATCTTCTTTAGTTTCTCTTATGAGTGTCTTATAGTTTTCAGAGTATAGGCATATCACATCCTTGGTTAGGTTTATTTCTAGATATTTTATTCCTCTCAATGCAATTGTGAATGAGGTTGTTTTCCTGATTTCTCTTTCTGCTAGTTCATTGTTAGTATATAGGAATGCAATAGATTTCTGTATATTAATTTTGTATCCTGCAACTTTGCTGAATTCAGTTACTAGTTCTAATGTTTTTTTGGTGGAGTCTTTAGGGTTTTCTATGTATAATATCATATAATCTACAAATAGTGACAGTTTAACTTCTTCATTACTAATTTGGATGCCTTTTATTTCTTTTTGTCTGATTGCCATGATTAGGACCTCCAGTACTATTTTGAATAAAAGTGGTGAGAGTGGGCATCCTTGTCTGTTCCTGATCTTAGAGGAAAAGCTTTCAGCTTTTTGCTATTAAGTATGAGGTTGGCTGTGGGCTTGTATATGGCCTTTAGTACATTGAGGTACATACACCCTAAACCCATTTTGTTGAGAATTTTTATCATGAATAGATGTTGAATTCTGTCAAATGCTTTTTCAGCATCTATTGAGATGATCATGTGGTTTTTATCCTTCTTTTTGCTAATGTGATGTATGATATTGATTGATTTATGAATATCATACCATCCTTGCATCCCTGGAATAAATTCCACTTAGTCATGATGGATAATCTTTTAGATGTATTTTTAATTCAGTTTGCTAATATTTTGTTGAGGATTTTTATATGTATGTTCATCAGGGATATTAGTCTATAATTTTCTTTTTTTGTGGTGTCTTTGTCTGGTTTTGGTACTAGAGTGATGCCAGCTTCATAGAATGAATTTGGAAGTATTCCCTCATCTTCTACTTGTTTGAATACTTTAAGAATGATAGGTATTATCTCATCTTGAAATGCTTGATATAATTCATCTGGTCCTAGGATTTTGTTTTTGGTAGTTTTTTGATTAGCATTTCAATTTCATTACTGGTAATTGGTTTGTTCAGATGTTCTGTTTCTTCCTGGGTCAATCACGAAAGGCTGTATTTTTCTAGGAAGTTGTCCATTTCTTCTAGTTTGTCCAATTTATTGGCCTGTAGTTTTTCCTAGTATTCCCTAATAATTCTTTGTATTTCTGTGGTACCCGTTGTGATTATTCCTTCTTTGTTTTTTATTTCGTTTATGTTTGTACTCCTTTTTCGTAGTAAGTCTGGCAAGGAGTTTATCTATTTTGTTTGTTTTCTCAAAGAACCAGCTCCTGGTTTCGTTGATTTTTTTCTATTGTTTGATTCTTCTCTATTTTATTGATTTCTGTTCTGATCTTTATTATGCCCCTCCTTCTACTAACTTTGAGATTCATTTGTTCTTCTTTTTCTAGTTTCTTTAACTGTGAGTTTAGACTGTTCATTTGGGATTGTTCTTGTTTCTTGAGGTAGGCCTGTATTTCTATGTACTTCCCTCTTAAAACTGCTTTCATGTATCCCACAGATTTTGGGCTGTTGAATTTTTGTTTTCATCTGTCTCCATGTATTACTTGATTTGCTTTAATTTGTTCATTGAGCCATTGATTATTCGGAAGTAAGTTGTTTAGCCTCCAGGTGTTTGTAGGCTTTTTTTGTTCTCTTTGTGTTATTTATTTCTAGTTTCATCCCATTGGGGTCCGAGAAGCTGCTTGATACAATTCTTTTTTAATTTATTGAGGCTCTTTTTGTGGCCTAGTATGTGATCTATTCTAGAGAATGTTCCATGTATACTTGAGAAGAATATCTAAACTGCTGCTTTTTGGTGGAGTGTTCAGTTGATGTGTGTTAAGTCCATCTGATCTAATGTACTATTCAGTGCATG